TAAAGATTATTGTTATCCGTTATCACCGCTCAGCAGCATGAACGCACACCTCGGCTTGAGTTTTGCGATTAAGTATTAAAGAAAAAAGAACCGACCAATAATACATCCATTCATAAAAAATAGCTAGCCATTTGAAAGCTAAATATCAACTTGTAGGTGGACCACTGAAAAGGATTGGGGCAATAATAAACAAAAAAGAAAATGCCTAATGGGAGTGTTGCTGGGGTGGGTCGTACAGATGGTACAGTAATTAAAATGAAAATACCATGGATATCTTTGTTTAGGTGAAATAAGTAAAAAGCGTGTATTTTTAGAAATCCTTTGAATACACACACACACACACACACACACACACACACACACACACACATATATATATATATATATATATATATATATATATATATATATATATTGTAAGGTTCACACTGTAAAAAAGCACGGAGGCTGCTCTAGGTAGAGGGTTACGTTAAGGGATAATTTATACGGATTCTTATAAGAAAAAGAGAAGACTTGAACAGGTTCAGATTGTAGTGACCTGGGAAACATCCCCTTGGCAGTCTGTTCCACAGAGAGGTAGTCTCCGAGAAGCAGCTGTTCGAGTGGAACTTACTTCTCACCGATGGAATATTGGTGGTTTGATACAATTATATATAAGTTGCATGGCGGTTTCTAACCAAGACTGTTAAATCTGTCGGAACCAAACAATATAGCTGGTCCGAGCAATTTCCCTGGAGAAGAATATATATATATATATATATATATATAGTTGGATTGATGTGAGTTATTGACCCTGGGTTTCATGCTCTTTGCGATCGTCAGACAAAATGATTAATTTTTAAATTTTGGATTTATTTATGTTTGCATATATCGGAGTTTTATGGTAGTGGGAGGAAATTTTTTGTCGCAACGCCAGTCATACGTATGCAGACAATGCCTAGACACACGTTCACGCATTGCAGCTCACACAGACATAAACATAGATGAACAGTGTGTGAGTGGGCGTATATACGCATCCATGTGTCGTTGCGTGCATACGTACGCAATTGATCGCTGTATTCAATGTTGGACTGTGTAGTGAACGTTTTTTCGTCTATTTTGTTCGCGGAATAATGTTTTTTTTCGCACACACTTATATGCATATGCTCGCGCGTTCACACACCTTCTATCCGTCTGATTTTTTTCATTTTAAAATGGGGTCTGCGTAAGATTATGGTAGGGCAAAATTGTTATTATTTTTAATTTTTTAATGGTGTTTTGTTATTATTTTAAAGCCGGGTATTTGCTAGTTTTTGACGATTGCGCTTATATAAATGGTAGAAACTCCAATTTATAATACTTATGGTATTTATGCAGTAGTATTAATTTTGCTGTGAAGGGAAGGAAGTGTAATTGTGGAATGAGGCATTAATGGTAATTGTGGTGCAGTAGTAATTGTGGCCTGATGCGGCAATGATAATTGTGATGCGCTAGTAATGGTGGGGGATCTGGTGGTAATAATAACAATTGTTGCGGCAAATAGTTGTGGCAAAATGGCAGAAATGATTGTAGTATGGTGGTGGAATGGTAATGACAATAATTATAATTATTATGATGGTAGTTTAAATTAGAAAATAATAGTTGGTGTTATGGCGTCAGTAGTTTCTATTTCGCGTTCACAGGGTGAATGGTGGTTTATGTATCAGGGTTGGTTGGTATTTTTATCCGTTCGATATAAATTGTGATAATAAGTATTTGTTTTCATGTGTGCATTTAGAAATTATTTGTGATTTTATGTTTAGTAATTTCTTTAGTTGGTTTTAGGAAGTTATTGTTACCTTTTCGTTTAGGCAAAGTAGGCATTTCTTTGTTATGCTGTTGTTGGCAGGTGCGTATTTATAATTATATACATAAACATTTTACACACACACATACGTGTATATATATATATATATATATATATATATATATATATATATATATATTCGTTTTATACATATATATTGCTCACCATAATGCTTCCTCAGTGATGTCTATTCTGGGATTATGGAAAGTATCAGGCTTCCATGATGTCAAAATTTATCTCACATGATCCCAGCCGAGAGCAATCATTTCTCGATTAACATTTTGGGAAAGCTTCCGCATGATTGCAAGAATTGTAGCAATATATAATGTGGACGCTGTAATAGTATTTAATTGGAGTTTGAACTAAAATTTTGAAATGATAATTCTATAATGTTCGATATATATTGAAGAAAATACGTTTTCATATTAATTTATAAAGCCAGATACATCTACGTAAGTGTGTATGTGCGTGAAAAAAATATTTTCCTACGTCCTTACACGTTTTTTGTTTAAGTACTCAGTACACTATGTAACAAAACATTAACAAAAGATAGGTTATATATATATATATATATATATATATATGTATATGTGTGTGTGTGTGTGTATATGTATCCATGTGTGTGTGTACGTGTGTGCTCGCGCGCGTGTGTGTGTATTTGGGCAGCAAACTTCATTTAAGTATATCAAAAGTAACCAACCAACACTGAACAAGATTTATTAAAAGTTGTGTAGCAATCTTTAAAATGACTAATATTTAATATCATGTTGAAATCTACCATCTCCGGTTGTCCATCTTGCATTGGGAACGATTGTCTACAAAACATCGCAACAACACCGATTAATTTTAAAATAATTATAATTATTACAGAGCATTTTTACAAAAATCAGCACAACAGTGCTTACAATTACATTAAGTTTGTCTTCGCAATTCACTTTTGAGGATGATCTCGGAGGAGATCGAAAGTACTTGGGTTAACAAAAAACTACGGCACCTTCCTTGATGAATTTCAACAACATCAAAAAGATACTTAGAGAACTAGAATGAATAAATAGACATATGTCTATATTATTTAATTAAGAATGCTTGAATACACACACACACACACACACACACACACACATATATATATATATATATATATATATATATATATATATATATATATAAGTAAAAAAGAAAGAACAGTAAGATATATAATCCGGTGTTCTTATAGATATTTTTATTTTTACAAAATAATGCTCAATGTAAATTTACAGGGCATTAATATTATAAATTAATTGATTTAAAATATGCTTTTTTTTCGCTACACAGTTCTAACCGTGTTTCAAAAATGGAAGCTAAAATATATAGTTTCTCATGTATGTACAAAGGACATGGGTCATTCAATGGCCTACATCTTCTAGCTTTTCATCATAATTTCATTTTACTGTAGGTGTTTTATTGGATTCATTTAAGTGTCGGTAGTACTTTGAGAGAGGTGATTAGGTTAGAATACGTTTTATTTAACTACAATTTTAAAAGATGTTTAGGTTAGAATTCATTTTAACTACAATTTTAAATACTATAAAAACTATATGTTACTAAGTTTATAAAGTTTATTAAATCAGAGAAATGAATTAGCTATTTTTGCCGTAATTGTCATAAATTTTACTTAAATAATATTTAAATATAAAATTTAAAAAATTTGTGACCTGGTAATATACATACTTAATTTTACTTACTGTAAGTAATTCTAATACATTTACTTATTTTAAAAAGAAATTAAAATTAACAGTGAAAATATTTTAAAGTTGTATTTAAAATTATAGTTAAATAAAACGTATTCTAACCTAAACACCTCTCTCAAGGTACTACAAGCACTTAAAATAATCCAATAAAACACCTACAGTAAAATGAAATGTCTTGATGAATGGGTTTCTCTGTATCCTTGGAAACGTGAATTATGATTTTTTGCTGTGCATCTAAAACCCAGTAATTTTAAAAATAAGTTACTCCAAAATTCGCTTGGGGATGAAATGGAAGTAATGTCTTTAATTTAATTTCAAAATTAAATTCGAAGCTTTCGGCTTCCATTTTTGAAACATGGTTAGAACTGTGTAGCGAAGAAACATATTTTAAAAACATTTATAATTTATATATATATATATATATATATATATATATATAATATATATATATATATATATATATATATATATATATATATATATATATATATATATATATATATATATATATATATATATATATATAGATATATATATATACATATATATATATATATATATATATATATATATATATATATATATATATATATATATAGATAGATAGATAGATACCTCTCACATATATATTCATTTCATATTTGTGCATATGTATGATATTACGAATCCCGTAAGACAGTAGTGTCGTTAGAGTACCACATGTACTACAGCCGTAGCAGCCTGATAAATCTGACCTGGTTTTGAATTTAGACATGTCCATCACGCAGACTGTTTGCCTCTACTAAAATTAAAGAGCCTAATCTACAATGATATATTTAATAGATGGAATGCATCGAGTTGGCTTCATACAATTCGTAAGAATATGTATGCGAAAGTAAGCGCAACAATTTCAGCGTGGATAATTGCAACGCTATATAAGATTAATAGCAATCGGAAATAAAACTTTGAATGCATAAACATAAAAATAATTCGCTGAACCTATTCTAAATATAGTTACTAATATTATTTGTATTTAAATGACTAACTTCTTTCGAGCGAAGCTCGGAAAAGTCTTAGAAAGGCAACATGGAAATAATGTAATTGCTTACAGACAGACTTGTTATGAAAACTCTTAATGCTTTATAATCGCCATTGTTTTCTTTTTCTAATCTCGTTAAAAATGGGATGGGGAATGCAAAAAACATAATGAAAACCGTTGTCAATAACGCTAATGAAGGGAGAGTAAAAGAAAAAAACTAACTCTTGTAATCCAGGCTTCTCTAAGGAAAACTGATTTTCCTTATGGAGTTCACAAATGTATCTAGAATCGAAAGACTGGATATAAAGAAAAGGTAACAACTTATTTCTATAGAATAACACATTAAACATTAAAAAATAATTACATTTACTTCATTAGTTGATCTTTTATTAAACTAAAATGATATGACAACGATTCCAATACATACCCCACTGTGCGTAATCCGCGATTCCATTTTTTTGTAATCTTCAGCAAAAGTGATCGGCACATAATCATAGATACCGACTTTTTCCATTAAGTTCAGTCGAATCAGATAAGTACGAGCTTCTACAGGTAGAAAAAAATGAAAATAAAAAAAAATTAATGTTATTCATTTACAACGACTTTCTTTCAGATTTCATAACAATTCACTGGTTATAAAATGTACATTCAAATTTATTATTTCCAAGACAAACCATAAAGCAGAAATACCAAACGTCATCTTTAAAAATTAAATGAAGCTAAATAAGTTATGAAGTTAAATGAAGCTAAATAATGAATAGACTTATTGCAATGAGAGTTCTGGCAATATCTACCACTCAATGACATCTACTTAAAATTCTAGACAACATTCTCACGTAGATAGTAAGAAGTTACAACTGTCTTCATTTTTATTTAAGGAATTTATCAGGAATATTATCAGAAAAATAAAACTGACGACAGAAATATTGCCGGGAGAGAAGAAAGATGATGATTACTTTTTATCGTCTATTTGTTTAACGTTTCTTGTAGAATTTTTAATTTTGACTTGATATCTGTTTTCTTGCAACTAGGCAAAGTTTTACCTGTGCGAAATGTTAAGGAAGTTTTATTTTTTTTATTAAATTGTTTTCCTCAATTTTAGGACGAGCACAATGGCGTTGCCGAAAGCAATATGAAATAATGTGACAGGTGCGATGTAAAAATTGATGACGTCAACATTCGAATTAAACAATGCCGATGTGAGTAGAGCATGTGTGACATACTTCAGGCATGAGGTGACAATGAGGCAAAACAATGAATTTATCTGCTTCGAATCGAATCCCAGATCTCATATCGCACGTGTGTGAGTGTATGTGCGTACAGTTAAGAGTGTAAAAGTGAGTGCATACGCATATACAAACGCGTGTTTCAAAGTTATCAACCTTTTATCGATCCGATCAATAAAGCGTTAAAAATAAATAAAAAAAAAAAAAATAACAAGAAATAATATTTTGACAGCTTCTTGGAAGAGGGCCAAGAAAAAGCACACACACACACACACACACACACACACACACATATATATATATATATATATATATATATGTGTGTGTATGTGTGGAACGTATTATTTTATACATACATACAGACGCACGCATTATTTCATACATAAACACACACATATACAGTGTGGGAAATAAATATTCGTACACATGAAAAATTGTATTTTTATAAATGTAAAAGCCTTAACTAAAACAAATTTTGATACATTTTATGTGTAAAGATACATTTTATTAAAATAAATAGTAATAAACTTAATTCTTATTCTAACAGAAGTTAATGCATTTTTTTTTCATTTTAACTGATGAAAAAAGTATTCGTACAAAACAAAAAAAAAGCATATTAACTTAATTTAATACTTTGTGGAATATCCTTTATTGAGTTCAACAGCTACCAGTCTATTCCTGTACGTCTCAACTAATGATTTACACACATTGAGTGATATTTTGTCCCATTCTTCTTCGCATATTGTCTTCAAATTCTTGATATTTGTTGATGCTCTTTTTCCAATTTGAATTTTAAAATATCGCCATAAATTCTCGAATGGGTTCAAGTCTGGGGACTGACTTGGCCATTGCAAAACGTCAACGTTACTTTCAGCTAACCATTTCCTTGTAGATCTAGCGGTATGCTTAGGATCATTATCCAGTTGGAAAACCCAATCAAGAGGTAGCCGAAGTCTCTCAACAGAACGCATTAAATTGTCTTGCAGGATTTTCTAGTATCTTTCGGCATTCATCTTGGCATCTATTATTGATATTCTGCCAAAACCTTTTGCAGAAAAACAGCCCCAGCTCATGATACTGCCACCACCAAACTTTACAGTTGGCAACGTGTTCTTTGGTAAGTAGGCTTCACCGTCCTTCCTCCACACATGATTTCGATAATTATGACCAAACAACTCTATTTTAGTTTCATCTGTCCATAGTACTTTTTCCCGAAACGAATATTCTTTATCCTTATGCTCTCTAACGAATTTTAGCCTAGCATCTCTGTGTCGTTTTAAGAGAAGAGTCTTCCTTGGGATGCGTTATTTCAGACTGTTTTTGTGTAGTTCATTACTTATTGTACGCTTGGTTACTTTAATCCCTAATGCACGCAGATGTTCCTGCAGCTCTTCTCGGGTAACCTGTGGATTTTGTTGGATCTGGCGTCCTAATATTCTTGCAGATCTTAGAGAAATCTTCCTCGGAGCACCTGTTCGTCTTTGGTTTTCGACGCTGTTACGAGTTTTAAACCTTGCAATGAACGAAGCAATTGTAGTAAAAGGAATATTCAGGTTGTTAGAAATCGTTCTGTAACTGTTCCCAGCTTTCAAAAGAGACAAATGTGTTGTTTTTGGGAAATAGTCAATTCTGTACCGTTAGGCATTATTAGAAACTTCTCGTAAGACTAGAAATTGCAGAATGCTCTGATAATGGCTAATAGCGTTAACTATAATTACTGATAACATTACTGGAACATTCTAGAATATAATTTTTTCATAATTAATTGATTATTTTATTCTAATAATTGATTTGTACGAATACATTTTCCACCAGTTAGAGTTAAAAAATGCATCAATTTCTGTTAGAATAAGAATTAATTAAGTTTATTATTATTTTTTAATAGTATGTGTCTTTATACATAAAATGTGCCGAGATTTGTTTTATTTAAGGATTTTACATTTATAAAAATACAATTTTTCAAGTGTACGAATATTTATTTCCCCCCACTGTGTGTATATATATATATGTGTGTGTGTGGGGGGGTGTATATATATGTAAGTATGTATGAAATAATAGGTTCCTTTTACAGTTTTGTATACTCCAAACATCTAAATCACTAAAATGAAATGGAATGCTACATAAACACGTCCACACGACACACACGTATCTATCTATCTATCTATCTATCTATCTATCTATCTATATATATATATATATATCTATCTACATATATATATATATATATATATATATATATATATATATATAGTGAGTGACAGTGCGCAAATTTACTGTAGATGACCTTGTGATCAAGGCACTTTCTACATATTTACGTCGACCAAAACAAAAATAAAGACCTTTCCTTGACAAACCCAATGAATCAGAAAATTATACTATCCAAGCAACTAACTCTATCACATCTGCAAATAGAAAAGAATCAATCTAAACACAACATAGATTTGTTAATACTACATACAAAAAAAATAAAAGCCTAAGCCAATAATAAACAAAACAATAAGCTAAAACCTTAAGGAGGAATTACATAGGAGAAACCGCGAAGAAGCTAAGGAAAAGATTATATGAACACAAAAGGAGCATTTTACAAAAATTACATCAAATGCGTTGGCTGTCCACCGCAACGAGACTGGTCACAGTTTTGATATAAATCTAATGCTACTCTGATCAAAGGAGAAAATAATTTACTACGACGTAAATTCTAGAGAGTGCCTTAATCGCAAGGTCATCTACAGTAAATTTATTCTCTGGTTCTTACAGCATTTTAACATTCCTGTTAGATCTTCTAATATCACAGTGTGGGATACTTACTAACAAAAGTGATGGAAAGAAAAAGAAAGAGATTCTAAATAAATTTGGCGAGATAAAAATAAACTAATGAAATTCACAGCAGCTCTCGTTTGTGTTCATGTGTAGTTGTACGAACATAACAAATTTATTCTGATGAAGTGCTGAAGGACGAAATACATCACAAGTAAACATTTCCACTTTGTCTTACAATTTCCCCAATACAGTTCTTGATATATAAAATATATATCGTTATATATATATATATATATATATATATATATGTCGAGAGAGAGATAGATAGACAGGGAGAGATAGGTAGGTAGAAATTAATTCTAATCCTAACCATATTCCTAAAACTAACCCTAAAACTAAATCTTTTTGTAAGAAAACATATTTCCTTTGGCATTTTCTTCACAAAGTTTACCAAATTCCTGTTATCGGTCTGAAAGAGGCGATCACAGAATTCAGCAACTTTGGAATGAGCCTGAAAACTATACCACGGATTGACCAAAGCATTGAGAGTGAATTTGGGTGGACGGACCCTTGGCACGAACTCCCCAAAACGAAAGTATTGGTAGAACCAACAGAAACCCTACCGGGTCACCTAAGACAAATTTGATACAAAGAATAACGAATAGAACAAATACCAAGAAAATTACCAATAGAAGCAAAAGGGAAAATGAGATATGAACTAACGAAAAAGACCAGAAAACAGACACGCAACGATGCTTAAGCTACAATATATATATATATATATATATATATATATATATATATATATATATATATATATATGCAGAGTGTATCAAAATACGTTTACAAACTTTGGTGGGGTTCCTCAAAACAAGGACAAAAATTCATATGAATATATGTCCGTAAATTCTTGATTTTTGAGTTATTGAATTTAAAATTTACGGTAGACGCTGTCACATGTACATCCGGTATTCCCCGATCCACAGTTTGTGGTGTCAGGGATCCTATCTCATCAACACTACGATAAAGTGCAGTAAACTTTGGCTGACTCGGGTGCCTTTGGTCTGGAAAAAGGAATCTGAGAGAGCCGTGCGACTTTGCGTCTATTACCATTTTCGTATGTAAAAATCCTGCCTGTCTGCTCACGAATATGAATATGCTGCCATTGTTAAACGAAACACTTCACAGTTAATTCACTACTACACATGTTAAAGGTTGAAGACAGACTAGCCACAAATGTACACGAATGACAAATGTAGCCCAGTCGATATGGCAACACAGCACCATCTACCGTAATTTTTTTCAAAATTAATACCTCTAAAACGTAGGATTTGCGAACATATCTTTATATGGTCTGTTGTCTTTGCTTTTGTGTGAGGAAACTACCCCCAAATTTGAGAAGTATTTTTGATACACCGAGTAGTATATATATATATATATATATTTGGGTAGAAACCTATATTTCCAGCATGTTTCTTTGAATATGACAGACAAGGAGACTTTGATGAATGATATACAAGGTGCGATGAATAAATTACCGTCTAAATTACACAAAAATGA